CCAAAATGAAATTATCCACTTGGGGAGAAGCAACCATTCTATGGATATGGACCTGAGCAGGAAAGACGGGAGAAGCCTGTTGTCATTCAGGAACTGCCACAGCAGTTCTGAATTATCTACTTTTGCAACTTTTTTTAATAAAAAAACGAAACCTCTATTTGGTAAAGTCACTGTTTCTATAACGTGGTCAAATGCAATCCTAACCAATAAGGAAGTATACAAAAATAGAAGGAAACAAAATCCAGCATATGTAGACTATACCATATTGCCTCAGTCTGGCACCATGACTGGTGGATGCAAACACAACTCTATGCTTCATGCATTCATTGTGTGAGGTTATGCTGTTTCATGTAGCAGCAGTGCCTGAGCCCGGACCTGTCTCACCCATATAGCAGATATATTTCAGCTACGCTACTACAACAAAGATTTGGCAAATTAAATAGCCTGCTGGCCCAATCTGACCTGTGGACTGTTTCTGTACAGACTATAAGCTAAGAGATTTTGTTTTCTTCCTAGCTTTTAAAGGTTTTCAGGACAAACTGAAAAACAAATAGAAACAAAGAATATGCGACAGAGATCATATGGGCCTTTAAAGCCCAAATATTTTTCTATCTGATCTTTCCAGATAAAAAGGATGCTGACCCTTGCAAAAGGACAGGACAGAGAAGAGTCCACCTTGCGTATATTGCTGAGGCCATTTTTATTCTCCTTTGTTGGTCAATGAGTCATTATGTCCAAAATATGATCTGTGACTGAAGAACTCACTCAATGATTCTGTGAAAGGGAACTGGCGGGCAATAGGGAAGAAGGATGAATAGCATGGCTAATACCTTCCTTTCTTCAAAAGAAAGAAACTAGTTTTAAGTATAATGATGTCAGATTTCTGGAAAATATCATACATCAGCTGGAGCCAAGTGTTGAAAAGGAAGTATCATTAAGCATTCCACAGAAAATTCTAGAAGAATTAAATTTTGAATACCTCAGAATAAAAGTGTCTTTCAAGGAGACTTCCCCGCTACAGGTGGTACCAAGCTTTCATTCTCTAAACATTTCCACTATTCATTTTCATTCTCATTACATGCTATACTAACAACACTGGGTTGAAAGCTATGAGTAGAAAGATGGTGATTTCCCTGATTTTCTATTCTTATAGCCTCATAGAACCTAAAATGGGTGTTAGTCATTATTTAGATACTTGAAAAAATATTTTAAGTAATATGCAGTAATACAGGCTTTCATTTTTATGACTAAAAGTCGTTTCTCATACCCAAGGGTAAGATTATAAATTAAAATTTTCCAATAGCATATTTTGGCAACTCTTCCCAACATGAAATCAGCTGAGTTGTAAGCCAACCTCACATAACAATTTTCTAAGTGTACTGCTGTTAGTGAATTTTAACTCCTGCTTCATGAATACTAGAGAATACTCCTAGAGCCTGAGCACAAACAGAGAAGACAAGGAAAATATGGACTCAGTAAACTTTCAGATCTGTAAATATCTAAATTTCATTTAGTTTCCAAGATTTCTTATTTTTCTGTACATATGTTTTCCTTCTAAAGCATTTAGGTCATCAGCATTTTGTGAGTAAAGCTTTTTTTCTTTCCAAACAATATCCATTTAATTCCTGCTAGAATTTTGTCACTTCAGAGATTTCACAATGTAACAATAAATTCTATGCTACAGTGGTCTATCATAACTTAACTTTAAAGTTAAGTGGATTTCAGAAAAAAATAACTATTCTATCAGCTGTTTTTATCTAATATTTTATAGATGCAACATACTTTGTCTTCAAATCAAAGATTTTAACATACTTTTGTTCATATACTGAGCACATTATCCTTCCTAAGACTCAGTCTTCAAGATTTTTCATTGTTAATATTTATCTCTCATATCAAATGTATACATTCATATAATTATAAAATTATGCAATTCTTTTATGTAGATTAGTGATGACTACATGTGAATATTATAAAATAACATATTACAAAGCCCTGTGATTACAGAAAATGATAATGGCAAACATCTGGATTGAGAAATTTAAATTTGGAAAAGACTGATATTTTCATGAAGCCTTTTCTTCATGTGCCTCCGAATTTCAATTGGTGTTGACTGAAACCCTTTATATGGAACAGGCTAATCAAACTTAAATCTAAATATGTTGAACAGATTAAATAAATAAAACAGGTAGAAAAGCAGTTATTTCTCAGTCTTTGACATGTGGCTACATTAATACAGAGCAGTTTCAGTGTTGCCTTTAAGAATATTCAGCAATTTTAATGTTAGAGGGTAAACTCAGAATGGCTAAAGTGAAGAAACATTTTAAATTTGAATCCATCAAATGTGTACTTAAGGAAAGAAAAGAACTGTGTACTTAAACAACTACCAGAAATACTCTTGAGCAGGTATGGATTTCATTTTACAAACTAAGTAAGCAGAACATCATTCTCTTTTTAATTAACTGACATGCAATTTCCAATTTGAGGCCTCCATCTGCTAAAAGGCCCTAATCTCTATGAAGGACCCCCTTTTTATGGCATTCAAGGTGGTATGTACCTTATGGGCAGGGTGGCTATTCAAATATTTAACAGCATTGCAGTGACTACTTAGACCATTTTGAGTAGATGCCTAACCACTCAAGGTCAGTGCATACAGGTCGGGTCCACTGGCATGAGCCTGCTGGGTATCTGCCATATTTTTAGAGACATGGAGTGGGCATAATATTTATCATCACCTACTTTGACATGCATCGAGAGGTCTCTTTTCTCTCTGGACTTTACCTACTGACTACACAGGTTACTACTGCTTCTTTAGACACAAAATCTCTCCTGTCTGATTTCCCATTGAGCTCCCTCTTAAGCACAAAGGGAACATCCTTGTTCACCATTATTCACCAGCATGAAGGAGACTCCAGCTTAAATGTGCTATGCTACCATTTCATCTCAACTGCTACTGCATTGGGCCAGTCACACAGTTCTACGGGGTTTCCCCTTCCCCCTGGCTTTCCTGCATATGAATTCTGCAAATCTATGTCATATCCTTGTTATTTTCTTCATCTCAGAATTTATGGGAGGATCAGGGCAGAATGTAAGACCCTATTATCAAAATTAAAGAACTTGACTCTTACTATGATTATGCCATGGCAGTCTTTCCTTGTAGCCAAAGAAGAGAGAATTTCACTTCTAGATAGCACTTGAAAAGGAGAGGGCTAAAGCTTAAAAAGAGTTAGGACATTGAAATATGGTCTCAATACTTGTATGATGTAGGTCCAAAGTACTTATTATTGTTGTCTTCTTTCTACATTCCTATATCTCTTCATCCATATGCACGATGTTGAGATTTATCTTCCCTTTTCAAATACCTTTAAGATATAATTCATATGACATAATTCACCCATTTAAAATGTATGTTCCCATGTTTTTTCCCCAAAATTTCATCTTGAAACGTTCTCACGTTTTAAAATTTATCAACAGAGTTGTGCAAGCATCATCACAATCTAATTTAAGAACATATTCATCATCCCCCCAAAAGACCAAATATTCAGTAACAGTCATTCCTCATTCCCTCTTCTGTACCCCACATTACCTAGCAGCTGGCAACCAGTCCCCAACTTTCTTTCTCTATAGAGTTGCCTATTTTGCGTCTTATATATGAAGGGAATCATAAAATATAAGATCTTTTTTGCTGAGTTTCTTCCCTTTAGCATGATTTCCAGGTTCATCCATGTTGTAGTATGTATGAGAGTACTTCATTTCTTGCCATTACCAAGTAATATTCCTCCATATGGGTTTATCACAATTTATTCGTTAGAATTTTTTTTAACTAATCTTTTATGTTTTACATCTTCCTAGAACATTTTCTATGCTATAAGGAGTCTAGTAAAGGGTTTTTGGGAGTTAACTAGTGAAAACTGGAAATGTAGTATAAATGACTATAACCTCTTCCTGTGGAAAAAGTGATTGGCTCAAAATAAAGAGAAGCAATTCATGCAAATATCCAAGTTTTCACTTTTTAAGAAACCTTAAAAAACTGTCAAACACAAAGGAAATTAATAAGCATTTGACTCTAACAGCAAGTTTTCTTCAGAACTGTCTGCAAGACTTGTAAACAGATAGATGAAAGTGGCAAATGGAACCAATAATTGTTACTTCTACAATATCAAGCAATGAAGACGATGGATTTTTTTCAACATTAATTTCATGTGGTTTAAGGTTAACTTCATGTGGTTACTCTGAGGATGACACTGACATGTCAGCATCCCTGGTTACCTGAGGAGCACAGGTTGATGTGAGAAGTTCTAGAAATGTTGCTATGAATATTCAGGGAACTGTTCAGACCCTTTATAAGTGAGTTTTAAAAAAAGTGGGGCATATTTAGCTATGGTCATGTTATTATTTATAATTTTATTACAGTGGTATTTATAACAGAATAAACCTTCAGTGGATTCCAAGTTATAGCAGCGCAACTGTGATTAGGACTCACGTATACTAAGCATTTCTTAATCTGATACTATAAAGGCAAAGATCTTGACTCTATGAATGAATAAAGTTTCTATCTTTCAGGCTCAAAGGAAAAGATGTGCAATTATTTGTATAATGCCCTAAGATATTAATATAAATAACATGGGAACTAAAGCTTCATTTCCCCAATATTCCTTCTGTTTCAAAATGTGTGAGATAATGTATTGGAGAAGGTCTCTTTCCCTTTTAAGGCTACATTTTTAAATATTTTTTTCTCACGTCATTTTTTTTCTAGTGTGAACACAATCTTGCTGAATTAATTAACCGCACATTTTTTCCTTTCATAAGTTAATTCACACTCCAAAACTGCATTTTATGCCTTCCTTCACATACCTTTTTTTTGAAAAACACAAACAAAAGGTTTCTTAGGCTATTTAAAAAAAAAAAAAAATCAGCTACAACAGCAGTCATCCATGAAAACAACTGACATTTAGTTTCACATGTAAGGTAAATCTGAATGGCATGAGAACCTTTATACTCACAGGTATCTAAAGACTCGTCTGAATCATCAGGGCAGTCAGGGTCCCCATCACACAGCCAGCTCTGGGAGACACAAGTCACGTGATCGTGGCAAAGAAATTCACCAGGATCACACAACTGCTGATCTGAAAATGAAAATGTTTCAAAATAAAATATGAACGATCTGAACATGAGAAGGAGCAGTACAAAGATGAAACATGAGAAAGCAATGCATAAAAGGTACATGAATATGATCCACATTTTCTGTTCAGCAGCAAAGACAAACCAATTATTTTTCTAATTTTAACTGCTCAGCTCAAACACACAATTTTAATACACTTGACTTTGTTATAAGTTCACACATTCTGTTCTGGAAATAGTTAAAAATTCTGTTTGTGTTTATGACTAGGGACTTTATCAGACCAGAGATGGAATATAGATATTCCAGAAAATAAGTTTATATAAGATGTTGAATCAAAGCAGAAGCTCTTGAGCATAGAAGTTTTTAGTTTCTTTTTCAACTCTGGAAGAAAAAATCAGTTGAGTTAAATATTAATATTATAGTTAAAATCCATTTCTGGGTATTCAGTTTTTATCCATCCATCCTAATAATGGGGCTTCACATCTCTACATGAGTTGGATCCCCAATATCACAGCATTTTCTTCCTTTTCTTGTCATGACTTCCAACATGACAACTTCTGCTACAAGAAGGCAGAAGTGATAGCAATCTTCTATAAGGCTTTTTTTCCTATCTCAGATTTTCTGCAGTTGGTTGTGACTAAAAGTCTGCTGTTTTCTTCCTTTGTTTCAGAATATTTGAAATCTACAGCCCTTCCTCAAGTTCTCACAAACTCATCAGATGTTTGTTTTTCACAATATATTTACTTATATATTGTGAATCCCTTTAAAAAATAATTATTTTTTACACCTTAATATGTCTGAAATAGGAATGTTTCTTACAATGATGGCCTCTGAATGTAAAGTAGTGTTGGGAACACCTTAGCCATTATGTTCCACCAGTACTTTTGTTATCTGCATGTAAAAACAACTTAAGATTTTAAAAAATCTATCATTAAATAGGTCTCAGTGAGCTCTTTCAGTGAATATCATATAAAAATTCTAAGTGATATGAAAGCATTAGGCCATAACTTAATTGACAACTTTGCCCGAGCAATATAAAAATACTATATCACGCTCTCAATAGTATCCTAGATTTGATAAAATACGGTACATCTTTTCTTTCTCTCCCTCGACTTCCTTCCACCTGAGACTAGCTGCGTAAATTTCAGTAAATATGCATTACAAACACACATATATCTAAAAATCTACAAATATGGGTATAAGAATAGACTTTTCCATTCTCAAACTACAGATATTTTATATTTTCATTAAGTTCACCACCACCACACTCATCAACACCACTGTCATCATTGTTTTTTACATGAAGCTGCTTGAGCATACTTTGCATTGGACCAGACTTGGTGTTGTAGAATCAAAGATGTAGAAGCCAGTCTTTGTCTTAAAGGACCCAAAAGACTAGTTGCGCCTACAGATCTCACGCCCCAAAAAGTGCTTAAAAAAGAGAACATGGGAAGAGACAGATGGAGACAAATAAAAAAAATCGTTTTGGGATGTTTGCATTCCTCTAAAGATGGATAGGCTTTGGATAAGTGGAATACAGAATATTCCAGGTAAAGTTTAGAGTAAACAGGGGCTAAGACAATAATTATTGTGGGGCATTTGAGAAAAAAGTCAATTTTCTGCTGAAAATGAAATGGCATTCAGGTAGTAAGACCTGGGTTTTCCTCACCAAACAGTGGTGTATGATATTTATAAGTAGGCTTGAATGCTAAAGGAGGAGGGCTTACATTTTGCTTTAGGCTGTCACATAACTTTTGAAGTTAATATAGAAAAAGAGCATGGAATAAAATTCAAATTATTTTGCTTATAGATAAAGAAACCATATAATTTATCTCCAGGCTGAGAGTGTTCTCAGACTGCAAGTAGGTTTATTAGTAATTACACTGGGACAACAGGTATAAACCAGTTTATCCCAGAAAAGTCAGAACAGATGTTCATTGTATCTATAGCTACTTTGTGTTTGATCTATGATCTTGAAATACTAGATTTTATCTTCATTCCTCCCAAACCATAACAAATGGTTATGTGGAGAGGGAGAAATGTCATTGCACAGTGCGTGACTCAGTGAATAATTGATAGGTACCTGTTGAAAATATAAAGAAGGCGGCCATGAAAATAACTTATGATGTTGGAATTGAGCATCTGAGAAACATAGGTCAGGATCAGTAATGAAGGACCTTGATTGCCATTGGAAGTACTTTGTCTGTAATTTGAAGTCACAGAAAATACTTTTAAAAAAGATATTTAATAATAAAACATGCTACAAAGCCATCTCCTAACAGACTGTTACAATTGTCTAGAGAAGAGTTCAAGATGACTGGACTAAGGTACTAGGGAATTAGATGAAGACTCTGATCCAAGTAATGTGAAGTATGAGTTAAGAATTGGTGACTAAATATTTGAAAATATCCGATATATCTTCATGTATATAGTCTTAAACAACGGATGGTGTCATAAAACCAAGATACGACATACAGATAGAAAACGTAGACTGAATGCATGTGTACATATGTCTCTGAGCCCACTCATGGGGGGAGCTGAATCATATTAGAAATAATAAATAATATTTAATGATATATAGCACAGAAAGCACTTCCACCATTCCATCCAATTTGTTCATTTATTTATTTATTTATTTAATACACTATTGAATTTCTACTGTGTTCTAGGCACTAGGGATACAATAATGAAAATAAATATAAAAAAAATTGGGCAGAATTCCTTCTATCATGGATCTTACATTTTAATGGGAGGAGAGAAAAACAAAACAAATGAGCTAATTGTATAGCACATTAAAAGATAAACCTTACTGAGAGAATTAAAACAGAGATAGGGATTGAAGGTTAGAGTTTGGAGGCAGGTACAATTTTAAATAGGTGGTCAGAGTATATGTTGCAGAGAATATGACATTTGAATAAACACCAAAGTAAGGTGAGAGTGACACCCATTTGAATAAAAGGTCAAGAGCTAGGATTTGAAGCAGGAGGAACACTAAGGAGGTCATGTGACTGCAGAAAAAGATGAATTAGGAAAAGATGTGGTCAGAGAGTACCACATCTGAGGAGATCAGATAAAGGTTTTGTTTTACTAAAAACAAACAAAAAACAGGATGAAGACCATTAAAAGATTCTGAGCAGTGTAACAGTGTTGCAGCTTTTTCACTCTGGTAGTTCTGCAGGGAGTGTTACAGCTCATTGACTCCTGTCGCCAGCAGCTCAGTGGGTGGGGGAGCCTTACAGCTCTTTGCTTTTGTCATTCAGAGTTCCAGATTCTTGTCCCACAACCAAAATAAGGCACACAGACTGGAAAGGGTTAAGGCAGAGATTTATTATTGACAGAAAAGATCTCAGGAGGAAGAGGGAGCCCAAAAGACGGTTGCTGGCTGTGGGGCTAAGTTTGGGGTTTTTATGGACTGGGAATGAGGAGGAGTGGGTTGACTTGTCTGTTAGCTGTTTTTGAAAATGTACCATTTGGAAGGAGAGAGGATAGTGTAAAGAACCAATAGGAGGCAGAAGTGAACTCTTGGCCTGCAGAGCTGGAGTGATGTTTCACTTTACACAAATGAAGACTTCGCCTGTGGCCAATCACAGAAAGACAGGTATATGTAAAACAAATGAAAAATAAGAGACAATTGGGAGGAAGAGCACAAAACAGAACAAAGGCACCAAGGGGAGAGAAAAATGTAGTGAAATTTGTTCATCTGTGCTCACAGAGTGGATGTTTCCATTTAGGGATGTGGGCTTTTTCTTATTTGAAGCCTGCAGCTTGATTTTCAGGCTGTTCCTGGTTTAAAGAAGTTCTGCGGAGGACCTGCCCTAACTGCTTGCCTGACCGGTTTCATCCGTTCTCCTCTCTCATCAGGATCTGGCTTACTTCTTTAAAGAATCATTTTGGCTACTGTGTTGAGAATATATACTATAGTGAAGTGAAGGTAGAAGCAGAGAGATCAACTGGAATGCTATTGCAACCATCCAGGTGAGAGGAGATAGAACTGTGGAAAGACAGGTTGGTTGAACAGAACTTCAAGACTGTATTTAAAGTGGAAACTAGACTCAAATATTATGCTCACCATTTAGTAAATGCCAGAATCTTAAATTCAGTTAGTTAAACCCAAACGTATGACTCTCTAACCATTTAAAAATTATACTGAGTATGGGATGTTTTGGAAACATCTAAGAAAAAATATCTAGTCAGTGAAATATTTACATCTATAACTCAGGAGACTGGGTAAAACTGGCAACACAAGAGAACTGGGGCTACACAAAGTTAGTGAAAAACTAGAGGAATAGACATAGGGGTAGATTAAATTGACGTGAGAGGAGGGTGGGGGATAAATAGCTGGTCAAGAGAAAGAGGCAAAGGGTAAGAGTAGGTCAGACAGGGAGACAGAGGAAACAAAGTTTAGCCACAGATATAGGAGGAGGATGCAGGGGGAAAGGAGATTTACTAAAGTTATGTGAAATTTCAATAAAGGAATCACTTATGACAAAGTTCAAATACAGTGAGTTTTAAAAATCTGGAGTAGACTCATAGCCTGAGGGAAAGATACCGCTAGAGAAAGAGACTGGAGGCCCAAGAAAAAGGTGAAAGTAGAGCCATGTGCCCAAGAAAAACATATAGAGGTGGAATAAGAACAGAAATAATAGTAGAAACACTTGTCCTGAGGAAAAAAAGATAGAAAAATGAAATAGATAAATTTTTAGCTGGTATGGAAGAAAGTTAACATAGTCTTCATCAGTTGTGTTTTCTCAAAAACTGAGAAGGATTAGTTTTAGAAATTTGAAGAATGTGGAACATGAAAGGGTTGTAAAGGTTTAGAATAGTTGTATTAGAATTAGAAAAGGAATCAACTAAGAATTTGTGAAAGAACAACTTTGTAATAACAATGAGTATCCAGCTAAGGTTAAAAGTTGACAGTGGATGTTTTGTTCATTTTATTTTGTTTTAGTGTCCAAAGGTTCACCTATATGGAACCATAGATATAGAATAATTCTTTGGGAAAAT